CAAGAAAAGTTAGAACTGGGCGATGACTGAAAATAGCTAACCCACTGGAGAGTGATAAAAGCATCTGCTGAAAATCTGGTAACCAGATCTCCTTGGTACCAGAAAAAAAAACCCACACAAAAAAGCTGGTGGGTGGTGTACATGGTACAAAGAAAGGGAGTCCCTGAGTGTCAGCATCTGGCAAGGCCACGTGTAGCATAATCTGATTAGTTTTCAGTTCCACACCCACAAGCTGAAAGATAAAAACGCACACCCCTCCTCCCTGAGGAGGTAAAAATCTTCAAGCATCAACACCACATTTACATTCTGCAAGTCAGCCTCTTCCATGGCCCAATTTACATCTTGCCTTCTCCAGCAGAGTGGTGGAAGTTCAGGGATGAGAGAAGAGCTCACGTCCCTCTCCAGTTACCACATCCAGCAGACTCAAGATTGCCTTGCTTTGATCTGGGAGACATTCCATTGCTTAGTTTAAACTGAAATGATTAAGAAGGAGAAGAAGCCTTCTCACATCTTCTGCCGTGTCTGGGATGTGATAATTGAACATCAGCTTCCATGGGCCATGTGAACATACTCTGAGGCCATCCCGGGCTGGCGAGCAGAAGCAGCAGCTCAGGCACTGGCTGACTGGCTGCAGTTTGCACTGACCTAATGACACTCTCTCAGTACTGTTTTCTGGTTTGATTCATGTAAAATGGGCAAAATTGGCACTGGAAGGGATTAATGGCAATGCTTCTGCCTCCAGAAACTAATACTTAAGTTGGTATTTAGCTTGAAATAGCTGAGTAGTGGCGAAAGATCAGAATATGTCTTGTCATTTTGGAGTGAATAATGGATTTCTGATATCCAGCGTGTTTTGTACTGTGCCAGCAGACAAATCATAACAGCTTGTTTAGCTTTTGCCTATGAATTCTCAATTTTTTCATCTCTTTCCTATCTCCTCTCCTGTGACCTAACCAGTTCCAAAGGCTACTGAGTCCCATCCTTACTCAGAGACTCATGGAACAGCCTCCATCTTTTTGACTACATTTTGTACTGAATACTGCCTGTGCCTATAAACATTTTTCCCCTCTCCAAGCCCAATCCATTCCACAAATTAATCTTTGTAACAGAGCAACAGGCACTAAATGCAGTGTTGTAAGCATTGGGATAGCTGCAGCATTATTTTATTCTACTCTTCACACGGATTTTATATTGCTTTTTAATGTACCCACTGCTGCAGCAGATCATGGATTCTCCCTCAGCTCTCCACACTTGCTACCCTAATCTTTTTTCCTGAAATAAAATTACGCCTCAATACTGAGACTGAGGAATACAGCTTTTCTTAGCACACTCCCCTGGGATCAGGAATTTCTCTGTCAACGGACACATATATCAATGAGAGATGAAAAGCAGCTTGTGGAATGAGTTTTAAACATGTATCACATATTTCATTGCTGCTGCTTATGTGCTGCTCAGAAGGTCTTTTTAGACTGTTTTCAGCCAATACCTCCTGGCTTCTCTGTACTTAATAGGATTTTTTTTTTCTGCACAGGAATCAAGGCAGGATATTTAAGTTGCCCACACGCCTTTGTGAGCACCTCCTGATTTCAGAAGGTTTTGCTGAGTTTCCTGCTGACTTTCAGTGTGAGCACGTCTCAGCTTTTATCAAAGCAGAGTAACCCATGACGTGCGAAGCTGCAATGTCATCTTGTCTCCCTGGGACATTTCACTGGGGGAGTGTGGCTCCTTCTGTGGATCTCTTTGTCACAACATGACTCCGCGTTACAACCCTAAATTTTAAATGTCCAGAAGGGGAAGGCAAGTCTGCCTTTGGCCCCTTGCTGCTTTCTGGGGACTTGCAGTTCCATTGATGCCTGGGGTCTTCCAGATGTGCACAGAGCTCTCTTTTCCTACTCTTTTTTTTGGGGAGGGGGGGGCAGGGGCGGCAACACCCAAACCCACACATCTCTAGATCATTTCAATTTGACCAGATGTGAGGATCTTTCTTCTTAATTCTTTTTTCCCTTCTCCTTTTATTTCCTCTCTTCTTCCCCCCCCCTTTTTTTTATCCTGCCTACCCTAAAGTGCACTGCTATCCTCTTGAATTTTGTCTTTCTGTGACAGTCCTAGTTCATTATAAAAATAATATCCATAATTAGATATAAAATCTTCTCTGGCAGAGCTATGCATGACCAAACAGAGCGAGATGAAAACAGGGATGGGAGGTTTTGGGCATAGGTTGGTGCAGGAGTGGTGGTGAACTATGTAGTAAGTGTTCATTGAGTTATCTGAAGATAGTTAAAATAGCTTGTGCATCAGTTTCTTAGTGATTTTTAGTGACTTTCAGTGACTTTCCTTAAGGAAAAGGGCACTATATGAACATAACGTGGGATTTTTCTACAGATATTCAAATTACAATTTACTTTGGGGGTGGATTAATTTCCAGCTGAAGTCAGCCCTGGTGCGTGAGACCAGAGATGGGCTGATCATGTCTGCCTTATTTTGAGCCCTCTCAGATTTCACAGAATCACAGAATGATTTGGGTTGGAAGGGACCTTAAAGATCATCACGTTCCAACCCCTTGTCATGAGCAGGGACACCTTCCACTAGACCAGGTTGCTCAATTTGCCAAATCATGATTAGGAATGAGCAGAAGAGAAAAGAGGAAGGGAAGAGGATGCCTTGAAAAGAAAAAAAAAAGAGTGGAAAATATGACAGGCAAGGGGAAAAGCAAACACATAAAAATCGTGGAGGAAAAGAAGATGGAGTAATCCCAAGAGAATATTGACTGCATGTGTATGTGAAAGTCATTTCTTCAGATACACCAGACCCAACTTGTACAAGTTGTAATTTGGATACATTGAGAACATAAAGCTAAAGAATACAAGTTAGATGTTATGTTGTTAATTAAGCTGCTGTTACAGAGTTTTTACAAGCCCACCAAAAATCGTTCCCCATTTAAAGTGATTGATCCCTCCTGAAGCGAGAAGTAGACACCCATGTCAGCTCTAACACGGAGCAGCACCTTCTCCTTGAGGAGAAGGCTCCTGCCTATCACTGTGCTTTTAGACTGAGTCATCCTGGGACAGAGAAATCATGCTTCAAAGTAACAAATAATGGGTCAATTAATTATTATTTTTTAAATTGCTAGAGAAGTTTCTCCGAAGTTAAATTCCATCAAGTTTCTCCTCATCTTGCAACCTGACTGCTCTATCTAAAAATGCAATTTCCCTGAATTCAGTTTAGATTTATCTGATTTGGATATTGCTTTACCAACGTGCCATGAAGGCACCATAGTCCCAGTTAGATGATGTGAACCCATGTAGTTAGTACTGTGATGAGAGTTACCATTAAAAATCTTTTTTTTTTTTTTTAGCAGTGGTAGTCTGATAGCTCAATCTCAAGACTAAGTGGCCTCATTTCTGCTTCTAAAAAAAATTAACCAGTGCAGGAATTGGTTCTCTGGCCCAAAGACTGATGGGACAATCTGCCCATGTCAGCAAAGCTGGACTCTTGTAGCCTCCAGGCAGATGGCTGTGTTCACACTGCTGAGGGACAACACAGATTACCTCAAGCCACTAGGGATCATCTGGAAGGGTTCAAGCCCAAACCCTTCCAGAGGCCCTTCTTATTGTTAAAAGCATTTAAATATCCCACCCAGTTATTGCTTGTGCCTGTGCCCTGGCACTGCTCACAGGGATGGAGACAGATGTGGTTCTGGGTCACAGTCAGGGGGTCTGGGCCCCCCTTTCAGCTCTGCAGAGGCTTTTTGTGTGACCTTGGTTGGTGACTTAGGGTAAGCTTCATTCCATTTAATGTTGACTAATGGCAAGGGTGTCTAATTAAACCAGTCATGTGTGCTCCCTCTCTGATCAGAGAAGGAAGAGAAAGCAAATTCAGAAGGTGAATCATGCTGTTTTAAGATGGGTGTCAGAGACAAATGAGATGAATTGCCCTCTGGAAGTAGCTATTTCTTTCCATTAACCGAAGAGGAAGTCTACATTAGAAGAGTTTAGACTAGATGCCTGATTTATGAATGGCTGAAGTTAAGCAAAATTAGTCCTGTCCTTAATCTTTATGCATGTCTGTTTCTCTGTGTGTTAAATAATAGAAATAACACCTTCTGCACCTCACATTGGAAGGCACCATTAGTCAAGGAGCATCCTAAAACTCCTTTGGAAAGAAATTAAACCTAGGAGCAAAAATACAACCACTACAGAAATAAAGTCTTTACTCTTGAACCAACTCAGTGACAACATGAGCAGTACCACTGGTGGCATCCTGGTGCTTTTGGCATTTCCCTAATTTACATTTTGACAGCAAAACATCCCTAAATGAGTGTTCCAAAAAATTGCCAGGGGTAATTGGCCTGTTGTGGGGAAGAGCAGTAGCAGCACTGAAGGCTGACCATGACAGGGTGTGAAGGACCAATCTCGGCCAGCAGCTTTAAAGATTTTCCTTGGATACTGCTCTTCTGGATTGACAGGGACTATTGACTTTTTGGAAAATATCCCAGAGGAATGAAAGCTAATGACTGACTGTGATAGAGTTAAAGAAAAAAACATAAAGGGAGAAGAAAAGATTGCAAAAATCCACAACATATGAATCAGGCATGAAATAATTGTCCCACTTGATAACTTGTATGTACTCATGAGGCTTGCTATTGAAAGGGGAAGTTTACCTCTTAACTATCTTGTGTAGTTAAAGCAGAAAAAAAAACCACCAACAAAAAAGACCTTGTGTGAGTGTCCTGATAAGTGCTTATTTTGATCCAAATTGCAATCTGTTACACATGTGTATGGGCACTGTTGTGTTCGATAAGGCTTTCACCAGCACAACCATGTCCAAAACACAAACCCCCAATGATGTTTCTGTGTTTTCAGGGGTAGCTGAGATACCTGTAAATCCATTAAATCTAACAACAGGTCCTTAGAGGCCATTTTGGGGTTTTTTTTTGGGGGGTGTGTTAAATTACTACATCTTGTTATTAACGCTTTTATTTTATGATTTGCTGTTTCCAGGGCACAGACAGAAGCTTGATGACTCTAAACCTAGTTTGTTCTCTGAACGCCTCAGTGATTTAGGGCGCATTCCTCATCCCAGTATGAGAGTAGGGGTCCCGACCCAGAGCCCACGGCCCTCTCTGAACTCTGCACCAAGTCCTTTTAATCCACAAGGACAGAGTCAGATTACAGGTAAGAGACAGAACCATAGGTTTGACTTGCACAGGCAATGGTAGTAATTGCTTATGGGTATTTGTGTCTCAGCTGCAGTCAAATAGGCTGTTACAGAGTGAGAGATGTTTTCCAAGCAAAGCTAGGTGGGAAGTGGATTTTTCTGTAGTGCTTGAAGCTGAAAATGTTATTCTTTTTCTTTTAATATCTTTTTGCCATAAATCTAACATAGTCAATCCAGGTAAATTGGGTAGGAATCTGGTGAAATTCTAACTGCCATGTTGCTCTGCCTTCTCCGTGTTGCAATAGTACTTATTAGCGTATAATAGAATGAACATTTTTATCCAGCCTTGTTATTTTGCACCCATGTGGAGGGGAACAACCAGCACTTAATAATCTTTCTATCAGAATAATAACACAATCTTCTCACATGGCAGTTTCCTTCCAGCACCAGTGCTGGCCACGGTTACAATAAATGAACTGGGTTATGGAGAAGTCTCTAAAGGTTGCTTGTGGGGGTTGTATGCAACATTTATGATTGCATGCTGAGAGACAGATTTTGTTGTGCTGAGAGAAATCATAAAGCACCCACCATGTGTCACAGATTAGAAGACTGAAATAAGTTGTTTAACTGAAGCTAAGCCAGAAGTTTGCAGCAAAACTGTGAAGCCTACAAAATAAACCAATTTTGTCATTTTTTTCTAAATTCAGAGCTAGTTACATTTTTTAAAATAGTTTCAAAACAAACCAATTTTGTAATTTTTTTTTCTAAATTCAGAGATAGTTACATTTTTTTAGAATAGTTTCGAAACAATCTCTACCTAATTTTGGGCATTTCCAGACTCAAAATTTGTGTTGACATATTTGTGTCTATCCAGGATGTGAAGAGGTGTTACCCCTGACCAATTGCTCGAACTGTTGGCGAGCTTCACCTGGATACAAGTCTGTCAGCAAAACTCTTGGCTCAAATTTCCTAGACCCATTAAATATTCAGTTCTGCTGCTATAGTTGCACCTACACCAGGAGTCCTTTGCCAGCATTATACACCAGCATTCCTTTCCTGGTAAAGCACTCCTAGTATAGACATAGTCTTTGAGTCAACCTAGGAAGATTTCTAGTTTCATGTTTCAAGTGGTTTTGACATGATACCAGCTGAAACTTAGTGGTTTTAACAAAGTGTTGTGGCTTTCTTCTTCTTTCTTTTTCTCCTTTTTTTTTTTTTAAGTTCAACTGGTTTATTAATTTGCAGTAAGGAAGAGAAGTAAGTGAGTTAATTTGAACCCAAAGCTCTCAAGGAATTGCAACAAAAAAATTGCTCCCATGAGCTATGGCGAAGTTCTCCCATATCTAGAAGTCTAACTTTAACTAGTGTAAAATGTTTATAATATAATAAATATGTTAGTTGTACCCATTACATGGTATCTGATGCCCTCCAGCTTCTCAGAGCAGTTTTTTTTTAGCCAGGCTTAGTGTTTTGTTCATAGGACATATGAAGTCAGGGCTCTTGTGCGCATCATTTTCTGAGTAAGAACTGCCAGAATAAAGGCCAATAGTTTTTCTAACCAACCATCTTCTGTCTGGCAGTGTTTGTTGGACATAGCTCCCAAGAAAGCAGGGGGGGAAATCCAGGCTATAAGCAGCTTTTTTCCTTCTTCCTTGAGCCTCCATAGTTTACCTATTGTGCAACACTATATCTAGGAACTAAAGAGGGTGAAATTCTTCCTGACCCCATCTGGTGATCAGCTTATGCCCTGAAGCACAAGAACTGAGATCCCCTTGTAATTTTCTTCCTAACTAAGTGTAACCTCGTATGCTGCTCTCCTTCACATAAATGCCTCCCGTAGAAAACGTTCTGCTGGCTTTGATTAATAGACTACTTCTCTGCCTCGTTATGAAGCAGCAGCAGCATTTACAGATCCGGGAGGTGAAAACTTCAGATGAGCTTTAAATAAGCCTGACTGGAAACAAAGCTGTGTGGCATTCGCTGCCTTCTCTGCAAATTTAAGTCAGCACTTCAAAGCACCAGCTGAGACTTCATCGAGAGAGGGAAAATGCAATGCTGGTAGGGCAGAGGGAAGTGAGCTGAGCCAAGGGAGGCAGGCTGGCTTTCCCATCCATTGTGGATTATGTGTTTTTATTGTTGGATAAACTCAGGGTCATGGGATACATTAGCGTCCCAAATTGCTCTCATTTCCCCCAAAATGATAGGACTCAGTCTGTAGTGAATAAGTGGTCCGATACAGTGTTCGCTATGATATCTCCCACCCTTATGTTATTCTCCTCCTCAGTTTAGTAAAGTCAAACACCCAGCCCTCAAAGGCTCCTCGTTAGCTCTCTGGTAGCCCTCCCATTTAGTAAGGCCATTGTGTGAGCACGTTACAGGGGTGCGAGCTCTGCGAATTGCCCTGACTTCCCACAAAACTTTTTGGTGCTCCTCAGGACCTTGACTGCAATCTGTAAAGCTCTACGTGCTTTGATGTCCCACCAAAGCGCTGGGGTGCGTTTTGCGGACGGTCCCTCCGAGTTCTTCTGGGATGAAGGGATGATCTTTGCTGCACAAACCATGCCAATGAGAGACCAAGGTGATGGCGTGGACGAGGCACCGCTTTGATCGGGTGTCGTGTGGGAAATTGTTGAACATCTGCCTGTTCGGTGTGGTGGTAGGGAGCGAGGTGTTTGGGTGTCCAACACCAGTTTCCTTGATGTGGTGGGATATGCAGTTGGAATACCACTGGCTTCTTAACATGGACACTGCCTTGGGGTATCTATTAAAAGGAGACTAGACCCTTCTCTGAAAAACAGGGATTTTTTGTTACCTTTATTGGAATTAACCAAGCATTCCTTTAGAAATAGCTTTATTTCATAATCTTTTTACCTAATAATTTAGGGAAAATAATTAATTCGTAATAACTTGGACAGTAAATACTGGTTTCCTATGACAAAATCCATATTATTGCTAGTAAGCACATAAACTGTTTTTGTTTCGTTCCACTTGAAGTCTTGCATAGCTGTTGCATGATTAAACAGGAATAATATTTAAAGCCTGGCTGGCCCACACCTGAGCCTGAGAGAACTCAGCACTTTGGGGATCACTCTTATATTTCTTTTCTCTGTGTAGATTGTGTTTATTTTCCTGGAGTATCAGAGTACAGGTTGTACAAATCACAGCACAGTCCTTAACCTACCACTGGACTGGACTGTGGCCCTTATTCAACATGGCATTTTAACTAGGATTCAGCAAAAGCTACATCGAAGGGTGATTAAAAAACAAATGGTCCAATAAGCAGATGCCTTTGCTGAGGCAGTGCAGATCCAATTTGAGCCCTGCTTGCTGCCCGTAAATCAGGAATCCTGTCTGTTCACATTTGGATACTGGTATATTTGCTTTTTTAGTTTTTTCCCCTCTCCCTAACGGCACTCACACAACTTGCTCATGTATCGAGTTACATTCTCATTCAGACACTGAGCTGTGGCATCAATATTCCAGTACAAAATGAGGAAAACTTATTTCTCTAAAACGCTGGTGAGGATTAGCTTCTGCAGGCCAGGAAAAGCCACAGGTGCAAGGCAGGAATGTGTTCGATGCGAGGACCCCATCGGCTGGGCTGAGGGACAGCAAAGTGGGAGTTAAGTGAGGTTTCATGCTCCATCACCACTGTGGCACCAGCTGATCTATAGGCAACCTGTGATTTTCACCACTGAAATAACAGCCCTCGAAGGCATGTCCTGTGAACTGTTTTTTTCCCCTTTTCCTCTTCCCCCTCCCCATTCACTTCAGGGATGTTATGCTTTCATTTCTTACAATTTTTAGGGTGGTAGGAATCAGATTTAAAGGCTTTGGAGTTGACTAACCTGGAAGGTAGTGAGGGGACACATGTCCACTGGCAGGCAGGGGTTGGTTTCAGGGATACTGTTATCTATGAGTCTACTCAGAGTACCATGAGCAGAAAGCACCTTTGACTCTCAGAGGATGAGGATGGTACCAACTGGGCCATCCTTAATTCCCCATTCAGGGCTTGCAGGCACTGCCCTTTTGCAGAGTAAGGGAGAAGGTAAAAAGCTGTGCTCACCCCAGCACTGTCCTTGGCTCTGGATATGGAGCTGTGCAGCATCTGCCTCAGACAGCAGGGTCTCTCATCAGGTACAGGACAGGTTTGAAACAGAATTGGTGTAGCTGTTATTAGACCAGCACTGTGCAACTGCCCTGCCAGGGATTGGCTGTATTTTATCTGGGACCAGCAGCTCTCTGAAGCACCTACCACTTTATAGCTGGTGCACATCCATCTGAGAGCACGTTGGACAAGGTACATAGTTACTTGGAATAGATAATTTAGAAATTGCCCAAGTAATAGGCTTATAGGGTGAATTATACCTTCAGCTCACTATAATGTGGAGTAAAAGCTACAAGACTCATCAGGTGAGGTGGTGGAGCTGGGATTGCTGGTGCAACCCAAAGGTGGCTGCAGTCTGCTGTACTTTATGCAAATGGATTGCATCCTTCAGGCAACTGGAGAGTTGCCATTGTGGACCTCCATTTGGTAAAGCTTGTATCCCTCCTATTAAAGTATTCTTTTTAACTTTATTTCACCACCACCACCCCCTTTTACAATTTAGTGGCCCTAGTAGCATGATTCATTCAGTTTATCTTTTTTTTTTCCTTTTAGAAATGTGACTCTTGAAGAGGTGGAAGGAGGTTTAGAGGTTCTTCAGACCAAAATCTGGTCCCAATTACTCTTCTGTGCATTGGGGTGTAACTCCATTGGATTTGACTTGATTGATTGAACTGGGCAATTCACATGAAGCCCTGGGCTTTTAAGGATGCCTAAGAAATAGTCAGAGAAGAGGAGGAGATTGCATTTTGTTGTTGTTTTGCCGGGGGGGTTGGTGTTACAACAATAGTTGAGTTACTCATGCAGAAAGTCATCTTGCTTTTGTTACGATCAGAAGCGAGGATATTTGCTTTAAGTGTTTACCAAAGATAGCTCCAGACAGCTTGTTTTTTACTATTGGCAGTAGCACTGTTACAACCAGCAGCAGCCAGTGCTAGAGCTGATGGCTGGGTTTAGATGAGAGTGAGACATGTGTGACGTCTGGGTTTTATAGATGGTACGCTGAGGAGCTGCCAGCCTGTGATCATGCTCTGGTCATGTAACTCAGCTTGGAAAGTGGGGAATTGACTTTTTCCTATAGTGAATTGTTGTGCTTCATAATCCAGCGCCAAAGTGGTGGTAAAACTTGTTCTTCAGGGATATGTGCAGGTTTTTTCTTCTCTCCGTTGGCACTTCGCGGAAGGTATCCCTACTCGCAGCGGGTGGGCTGGAACTTTAGATGATCTTTAAGGTCCCTTCCAACCTAAAATGTGGGATTCTGAAAGAATTGAAAGAAGAGAAGTCATTGTACTGGAGAGTCAATGCTGTTGGTGGGAGAATGGGTCACTAGAGGTTTTTTTCCATTCTTTCATTTTTAATTTTAGTTTTATATAGTGCATCCAATCTTGGACTGATTTTTAAAGACACTTATTGTCCATTAAACATCAGTTTCCACAGTCCATTTGACACAGTCAGTCACAGACCACAAAGGGTCAAGAAACCTGGATATCTCTCATGACTATAAGTGAGACAGTAAAACTCAGACACAAAATAATATGCAATACTCAATATTTCCCAATTTGTTGAGGTTCACCTGGAAGTGCAAACAGGATGGAGCTGTCTGTGCATTAGTTTAGGCCTCGCCCTGCTGATTTGTTTCAGCTGAACTGTGCCCAGGCTTTCTTAGCATACCCATGATATGCCCTGCTGTGAAGGAATACGCTGAGAGCCGCACTTCCCTTCACACCCACGCAGGCGTAACAGAAATGTTTACAAAAGGAGGACTGCTCTCAGTAATCACTCCAAAGTTTTCAAGTGTAAATGCCAGCTCAGAGTGGCTGCTGCACGGGAAGGCGGGGGGGCCTTCTCCCAGGCTGTAATTTTATTTTTATATTAATGCTTTCCCTTGCTTTGGAGGTATTCCTTTAGGGAGGAATCCACATTCACTCTGCCTCAGAGCTTTAAGGTTTCTCATCTGCTCTGGGCTTTTTGTGATTGGGAAGATGTGCTGTGCCTGCAGAGCACGTGGTGCTTTGGATGACAGTGCAAAGTCCGTGGTCCACAGGGACCCTGTGGACATGTGTGGGCCCACCAACCACAGCGGATGGGGAAGTTGGTCTGTGATGTAGGAGGCCAAGGAAAATCTCTCACAAATCCACTCATAGCTTCTTCCCCAATGGTATGTGGTAAACAGTCATCCCACCCCTTCTGTGCCCAAGCGAGGAGGAGGTGACCCTCCTAAGAGGAAAGCGTTGTTGTGTTTCCCTCAGAAGCATCTGTGTGGATCTGCCCTGGAAGTGCTGTTGTGGCAGCTGGCACATCCCTGTGGTGTTCCCATCACCTTCTTTGCCCAAGGGAGTTTGGTGATGTGTGGGACCAGAAGAAATGGGCTGGCTGGGCCTCAGTGGCCAAAGTCACTGTTCCAGCATCATTGCCAGGACCATCTTCTGGTGGAACTAGAGGATGCCACGTGGGACCCAGCTGCATGTCCATCTTCAGGGACTAGATGGGGCAGCTTTGGGCTCTGTCTTATGGTATTTTTTGCTGGGGATTGGGCAATGCTGCTGAGCAGTGACGTTTGCCCTGTGGGCTAATGGGTCACCTTTGACTTGGCAAAGTCAATGGTGTTTCACCGCTCTCTTCTCTCATATCCATGTGCAAGCCTTGACCGCCATCAGTCAGCAGAGGTTGGCTTTAGGGCATTTACTCTAAGATCTGGTGAAACTTGTATCTTCACTTTTGGGTTTCCTGGCGGGCCAAAGATAACACTTGAGCCAGTCAGCCCCAGGACGAAATTCTCCAGCCTGCCTCAACCATGACCTCAGCTGCACCTTGATGTGGAGGAATCGTAGTAACCCTCTAGCCTGGGGTACTGTGACCTTCTCCTCAGTCACTGAGCTCTGATGCATCATCTGATGTTCAATTTGGTTGAGTATTTTCCTCTTCATTATTTCCTGTTCCCTGAGAAGACTGATCTATTTAAGGTAGATATTGTAAGAATGTATGATATGTTTTGGGCTCAACTCACTCCATCCAGCCTCATATCCTGCCTCTAACAGCACAGTATGAGATACTGTTTTGAAATACCACATAAGCCTTTGAAAGACAACTTTTTGCCATTCATCATTCTTTTGTCCATGCAGGCATTCACAGTTGCTGGATTAAGGACATTAAGTGTAAAACCAAGTCTTGCATGGGTGTCCAAAGTAATAAGGGTGCCAGAAATGCTCAAGAGTTTCTTGTGCCACAAGGATTACACCACCAAGAGTGTCATGAATCTCCAGAATGCAGTTCCTCTCCTAAGGTTTCCACTGTCTTAGACCAAAATGATGTAAAAACATCTTCTGCTGTGAATTTTTTAACCCAGCCTTTACCTGCTACATTATTTCCTTCCAGCATTGGAGCTGACCTAACCCCAAAACTTTTAAGAGACTTTGTTTTGGATTCAGAAGCAGAGATTGAAAAACTCTTAGAGTTTGAAGGATTTTGGATTTGAGATTGTGCTCCTAATACATCATTAATTTTAAGATTGTTTTCCCAGCAAGCCTAAGCTTTCTGTTCCCAGTTGAAGATCATTTACCATTGACTGCATGGTGGATTATTGTAGTGGAATGAGGCAGAGAAATATGTCGATATCAGATGTAACAACGAGCAGTCAGTCAGATTTGAACCTGTGCCAATCTATACAACCCTGGCCTTGAAAATGTTAAAACAAAGAAGTTCATTACATTTAATGATCAAGTGTCCTTTGCATTTCTGAGGAGTTTATATTAACCATTTATATTACTCAACTCTAATATAAATGGCAAACTCCAGGAAAATCCTCTTAAAATTAAATTGGAATGTTGTTTTTTTATATATATATCTATATAGTTATTTTGCTTCGAGGAAGTATCTGCTTTCCAGACATCTCTTTAAACAAATCATGTCTGAACAGAAATAATAAACAATGAATAGCTGAAACTACAAGGTTTTGCTGTGTGGAAGAACAGGGAAAGGAGTTTAAAAAAAAAAAAAAAAAGAAAAAAAAGTTGAATTTCCTGAAGAAGTGCCTTTGCTTATGCCATGTGGCTGTCACATTGCTGTCTGCAAAGCAGGGCTTTAGCACAGTGCTCTGATAGAGCTTGTTCTTCAAGTGGAATGAGCCTGATGTGCTTCCCTGAAAATACTGGGCAGGATTTGAAGAGGTGTGCTACAATTTCTATGAGTTGGTTCAGAGATAGTTTTCTGTTTATTGTGCAGTGCCCAAAACAAACTTTGGCGTTCAAAGTGCTTTGTTTTTATTGATGTAAAGAAACAAAAATCATAATTTATGAGGCATTCAGTGGTATCTTTATCATCAGATATTAACTGAAAGCAAAAGGTTTATAAATCCAAACACCAGTGAGTAAAACTAGGTCTCCATCTCTCTCACTTAGTTATTCCATAAGTGCTTCAGAAAACATTAAACTCTATTTATCCTTAAAATCATTTCCCCCACAGTGGACTGTCACAAGTACATCAAAAGGGATCATTAGCTTCCAATAGTTCTCCCAAACCATTTGGTTTCATATTTTGTAATTGAGGAAACTATAAGTAATTGGGCCAGTATCCAAATGTGACATTTTTGGATGGATTGCTGATAAGATTAATCACATTTTGCTCCTTGCTTAGTATTTTCAGCATTGAAAACACTACTGTGTGGTGTTTGAACTGTATAACAGCTTGACATGCATGTCAAGTGCTGTCTGTAGAGTCTCCCCACCCCTGAAGGAAACAGCCTTAGGTTGTGCCAGTGGAGATTTAGACTGGATGCTAGGAAAATTTCGTCACTGAGAGGGTGTTCAGGCATTGGAACAGGCTGCTGAGGAAGTGGTGAAGTCACCATCCCTGGGAGTGTTCAAAAAACTTATAGATGTGGTGCTTAGAGACAAGTCATGGACCTGGCAGTGCTGGATTAATGGTTGGACCTGATGATCTTAGAGGTCTTTTCCAAACTGAATGATTCTATGATTGTATGATGTCCACTTCCTAAGCTCAGACCTGGGGCTCATCCTTGCTCTCTGCTTCTGTCTGAAACCTTGAGGACTGGCCACTCTCGATATACCACTGTTGGAAGAGAGACACAGCACAGCTGCTGGATCTTTTAAAACTCTGCTCTCTGCTCTGCTCGTTTCCCCAAGAAGTTGTTCTGGGAAGGGAAAGGCACAGACCAAGGTTTGAAAGGGTTGAGCTATAGAGGAGCAAGTTGTGTTTCATTACATTCTCATTCCTCATAGCACTGATGTATGTGTGTTCAGTAACCCCACTTCTTTCAGTTAGGCTGTTGATACCCTAAAATTTTTCTTCCTTTTAAAAAAATTTTCTTTCTTTTCTTTTTCTCTTTTTTTTTTTTTTGTTTGTTTGTTTGTTTTCCCCAGACCCCAGGCAGGCGCAGTCATCCCCGCCATGGTCCTATGACCAGTCTTACCCATCCTACTTGAGCCAGATGACTTCACCGTCCATTCACTCCACAACTCCCCTGTCCTCCACTCGAGGCACGGGACTTCCAGCCATTACCGATGTGCCCAGACGCCTCTCAGGTAAAGACTGTGTTTTGCCTAAAACAATTACACAGAGAGGAACAGGACTGGCAGCGGCTGCCTCCGTGGCCTCAGACAAACCTTAGCAAGGAGAGCAAAGCTCAGCAGTGATATTAGAGTTTCTGCATGGCAGACAGGGGTCAAAGTCCCTTTTTTTTTGAGGTGGAAATGCTGCTGTGTTGTTCTGAGCATGTGTCACTTGAATGAATCAAAGTCCATTTCAGATCAGGCTATTTTTAAGTTGTAAACCTGATTCTATGAACAATTTTTTATTTTTTTTTTTTATTTCCCCTACAAGAGGATGATTATTTGCATGTAATTAGGCACTGGCACAAGTTGCCCAGAGAAGCTGTGGATGCCCCATCCCTGGAAGTGTTCAAAACAAGGTTGGATGGGGCTTTGAGCAACGTGGTCTAATGGAAGGTGTCCCTGCCCATGGCAGGGGGGTTGGAACTAGATGATCTTTAAGGTCCCTTCCAACCCAAACCATTCTGTGATTCTATGTTTTAAATTAATTGTGATATTCTCTGTTTCTTTGTGCTTTATTTTTGTGGGGTGTGTGATGTCAGGCATCCTGAGAGATAGGGACCCTTATTTCCTCAATAGTTAAAGCTGAGGCTCATTCTCCTGCATTTCAATCCAGTAGCTCAAGAAGGCCTGTTTCCTTAGTTAATGTGTATTTAAGATGCCTATCAGAAACAAGCTGAGTTACTTTAAGGTAAAGATTGGACAAATTGTCGTTTGGAATGATGCAGGAGAGAGGAAATATGTTTAGAAACATAGAAAAGACAGCAGTGAGGAACTGAGACCTTTTTTCTTTAATCAAACAAATGCACATTTACATACTGCGCAATTCATCTCTAATGGTCTCAGTGATAAAACCATCTGTGTAAAGTAATCTGATTGCCCCAAAGTAAGAGAGAGCCTGTCATGGCATACAGTCACCTTGTACATCTTGCCAAAAATGGGGAACCTTAGGGGAGGGAGGCTCAGTATTAAAAATCCAACCTTGCAAGTGTGGAAATATTAGCAGCGTATGCCAAAAAAGCATGTGTAATGTAAAGAAAGCCTTTATGATTCATTAATGAAAACCAAAGTATCAGTCTTATTACATCTATTTTTTGCATGTTTGCAAGATATTATTATAATCTTGGATGCTGCTGCCATACACCTGTTTGACTCCGAGCCAGGTGAATTTCTTGCTGTCGTGTTTTCCCCTTCCACTGAGCTCATAGCACTGGAAATGTTGATCACTCCGCTGAGCTGCATCCCTGACAAGCTGAACTGCAGCCAGCAGGCGTGTAGGATTTGATTAGCATAGACTCCTTGATTTCTTTCATCTTGGAGGAGGGAAGCTTTGTTTCTCAAACAAACAGCTGCAAAACCCTCTGCAGCCATAGTGCACTCTGCCTTGCAGAGATGCCAAAGATCTCCATGTGGTCTGAGGATGGTGGAGCAGGTTCCTGTGGGCTCTCTGTGCAACGCGCTGACTTGGGTCAAAAAACCTGATCAGCTTGATGCTGAGGAAATGCTTTGTTTAGCCCGAAACAGGTTCCCTTTGAGTCAGAGCCTCCTGATGGTCTGTGTTGTCAAATGGGTTATTTTTGCAATTGTGCCCGCAGCAATACCTGCAGGAGAGGCTCGGCTGGGACCTGGCAGCTGTACGCCGCATGCTTGCCCTGCAGCCCTTGCTTGTCTGTGTGTATTCAGACGTGAGTGCCTGGCATGTGGGCACAGGCAGAATGACTAAAAGACCTGGCTGTGTAAGTTGTGTGGCCGCAGACTGAACTTTTCTGCCGTACTCTGCAGTCAGTTCCCTTCGCGCTTCTTGTCCTTCATCTTTCTGGGGGCTCGACTGGTGCCTCTGCAATGCCCTTACCTTTTCCCAGTGTGGGGATCCTGCACCCAGTTAGATTCCAGGCTGAAAAAGGGTACTTCGATCTTCCACAAGTGCCAGAGGTTGTCTACAGTGTTTTCTGATGGAAATAGAATTTCAGAATGGAAATTCTCTCTTCGGAACTAGAGAGCGCCATTCTGGCCTGGAGGACCAGCTTGGATGCTTGGGATGCAAGGAGGCACGTTGCAGCCCCAGCTGCAAACCCTGCAGTTCCTCTCAAGAGTTTTTACCTGGCAGTGCCACAGGGATGGAGGACAGAATCTGCCCCCTCCTATGTCTAAATAGAGAGAGAAATGCAAGTTTTAAGCTGCCCTGTACAGCAACCAGTTCATCCCTCACACTCAAATAAACGTGCGGATCTCCAGTCAGTTACTTGACGCATCTTTCAGAAGAGAAGAGAGCTTTGAAGGGGGTAGAAAATGACTGCTAAGAAACACTAAAATCCTTAGAAAACTTCAGGCATCTCTGATACATGAGGGAGAAATTAGAGTTTTACAAGACCTTGAATAAAAACAAACCTTGCTTTCCGATACAGTGGCAGAAATCTGATTATCGAGGCTGTTAAAAGTATACAAGGTCATTTTAATGAGTGCCATGTTTACTGCCTGTTGCCTAACATCATGCAGGAAGAAAAATGGGTAAAACTTCTCCCTTAGGCCTTGGCTGTCACACCTACAGAACTTCCTATCTGCCACAATTTAACATCACCCACCCACAAGCTTCTACAAGCTTCCATGGCTCTGCCTGGACAACTGCTGAAGTTGTGTTCACCCACACGTTGAAAATATTCTATCTATTAAAGCAATAATGTCCTCCAGAAGGGTAGCTCCTGGTTTTATTGTCAGTGGCAACCCTCAAGAGCTACTTTTGATGGTTCTCCCTTGACCAGAAACACACCCATCCCATGGCCAAAGCAGTGGTGTTCCTCCCCATCCTGGGATTAGATACATGAGCTAGCAGTGTGCCCAGGTGGCCAAGAAGGCCAGTGGCCTCCTGGCCTGTGTCAGCAATAATGTGGCAGCAGGACCAGGGCAGTGACCGTCCCCCTGTGCTGAGCACTGCTGAGGCCTCATCTTGAATCCTGGGTTCAGTTTTGGTCCCCTCAATTCAAGAAAGACATTGAGATGCTGGAGCAAGTCCAGAGAAGGGCAACAGAGCTGGGGAAGGGTCTGGAGCACAAATCTGATGAGTAACAGCTGAGGAAGCTGTGAGGAGGTTCAGCCTGGAGAAAAGGAGGCTCTGCGGTAACCTATTGCTCTCTTCAACTCCCTAAAAGGAAATTGTAGCCAGGTAGGAGTCAGTCTGTTCTCTCAGGCAACAAGGATAGGACAAGAGGACATAATCTAAGGTTGTGCCAGGGGAGGTTTAGATTGGGTATTAGGAAAAATTTCTCCACTGAAACATTTGTCAGGCATTGGAACAGGCTGCCCAGGGCACTGGTGGAGTCACCATCCCCAGAAGTGTCGAAAAGGCATGTAGATGAGGTATTTAGGGACGTGGTTTGGTGGTGAACATGGTGGTGCTGGGTTAACAGCTGGACTCGATGGTCTTTTCCAACCATGATTCCTTGATTCTTGGTGATGAGACCACCTGTGTTTGAATCCCAGACTAGACTGAGCATCAGCAGAGGTTTGGGGCTATAGAATAGGAGGTGACAGGGAACTGCCATAGCAGTACATGCAGTTCCACGTCCCAAGGGAGAGGGGAAAAGGGCAGCAGGCTGTAACCCTGAGGAGTTATTTGGGTAGGCTGCAGTAATGTGGCTGAACTGGTCCTGTCAGTGTCTAGACTGATTTCTTTTCACAACTGACATGCTTGCATGCATGCTGCAGTCACATGTAAATGTGTGCCCGTGGCTTTCAAACTGAAAGTGTTCACCTTTTATTTTCCAGATGGGGATCAGTGCCCTGTTTGCACTGTCCTACAACTCATTATTGACGTGTTCCATGTATTAGGGCAGTATTCAACAGCACTAGTGGAAAAGCAAAGCAAAAAAAGATTATGTGACATCTTTCATGCAACTTTTGAATGAGTGATCTCTCAGTCCATAAGTCTCACGTTCATATCAAAAACAAATTAAAAAACCAAGCTCAAGAGGCCATGAAATTGCCTTACCTTATTGCACCAGCTCAGTCATAAAAAGAGTAGGATTCCCCATATTTTATTAAAATGTCTGTCTGCTCAGACTTCCCCAGAAGACAGTGAAAGTTGGTGGCCTAGCAGATTAATATTCTTAATTAAATAATATTGTAGTGGAAACCATGGGAATATATGTGAAAATGGTCATTTTAGAGAGAGTTTGCCTGAGGGATGTAGTCTTATTGCATGATTCATAGTGAATGCACTCAGTCTTTGTGTCCTATGCATAACCAAAGTGCATGTGGGATGGGGAGCATGGGTGTCTATTATGTAATTAATGTATATGATTCATATAAATATACACATCCCAGCCATTTTACATAGTGCTTTGGGGCTGATCCAGCAAGTCCTCTGAACATTGAAGGTTCAGAGCAGGGAGTACAGGTCGTGTTGTTCCTGCAGTCACAAGCAGGTTGCTCCCAGGCAGGTGAAGTGGGGAGGGGTATAGATGTCCTCAGGGAAGACATCCTCTTCTAAACACCCACCCTCAACTCCCTTTTGAGTCAGTGAGGACAAACTGGCATTTGAAGGACTTGACCAGTCTGCAGGTGAGCTGTGCTCATCCCTGGCTGTGCCTGGGAAGAGCCTGTTTGTCTCCATGAGCTCTGAAGCAAGCCTGGGTGAGTAGCTCAGGTACAGGCATGTCTGATCTGATAGTGTGCCTTTGGTGAGGTGATTTAAGAGACAATTTAACTGTCCTGTAAACATATGCATATCACAGCCTTGTTACACTCTAGTCCTGCTTTAACCCTACCTCTCCCTGACCTCGACCTGCTCTGCTGCTGCAGGGTTTGAGCTTGATTTTAATTTTGTTGAGAATCCTTAGAAGGGGAAGGTGGCGAGACTTCATCTTCCCCTACACTTTTCCTACACCTCCTCGCCCTTCTCCCTAAACACTAGTCTCTTGCTTTTTGATTCACCTTTGAGAGACTCTTGCAGAGTCAAGGTCTTTAGATGCTGGAGG